TTTTGGCGACAGTCAGTGGAATAGTAGTAAATCTGAGTGTAAGTATTAGTGAGTACTTAATGTAATGTAGGTTAAAAGTCAAAGTACAGCGGCCAAATGCACTTGGTTAAACTTAGGTAGATTCGATTAATTGATGGTGTGTACAGATACTGCCTAATGTAAATGTCCATGGCTTTGAGCTCGCCATGCAATCGCACTTTGACTTACGTTGATATTACATGATACATGCGTGCTACCCAGTTTTCGCGCAAATAATCGTCCGCAACTAGTTTAAGCCATTAATAAATCGAATAATAGATGTATCTATAGTTTAACCAACTACAATCGGCTGCTAAGACTATGTGTAATCGCATTTAACTTTTGGACGTGACTTTAAAAACTTCCTTAAAATTAAATTAATTTGATTTGATTTCACAGGGTGATGGTATTGATTTGAATAGTCTTATTGCATCTGGAATTGGACTGTTTGCTGGATTGCTGGTATGTAAAACGTATTGAAAAGTCTGCATAATACTGAACAGTTAGTCGTGTGACTGTGGTATATTCATAAAACGTTCTTTCACAGTCAGAAGGCGAAGAAAATCCGGGGTCGGTTATTGCTAGTTACCTTTTAACTTCATTGGATACACTCACGGGTGGAGGAGCGGTATGTTCTGCTACAAACTTCGTTATCTATGTAGATACATCTATTTAGATAAATTATGACATAAACTGAAATAAATGTTTTATTACAGAAAAATAATGGTGCCTTCTTCGGAAATTTTCTTTCAAAACTAGTAAAAGGCACAAGTGCTGTAAGTAGCTAAACCATTATTTATTGTCTATTTAATGTTTTATTATTTAGTTACATAACCGTCCTTTTAAAGTAATCAAAACTTTAAAGGACGTCTTTCACCAAATCGATCAAAAAACAAAAGGATATAACCCCCCCCCCCTAAAGGCTATTATTGACAGAGGCCTATGTTTAGCAGTGGATTTTGGATTTTGATAGTCTGTAATGAGTAACTAAATTACAAAAGAAGAAATTCTCAGTACGATTTACTAGTTCGATTGTACCTATGTCTCGTAGCGTCATTAACATTAGGTATAATAGTAACATAAATATTAGAACTCGATCTTCTTTCTCTCATCAGTCTCAAAACCTTTCTGCTAGATATGTAGATGTCCTCTTGAAGTTGCCTTAATCGTCGATTCGATTCGCACCTTTGATGATGACGATGCTCCCGTCGCTGATCTGAGTATTTAACGTCTGACGTAAATTCATTTGTCGGAAACTCGAGTCGGAAACCATTTAGATCTTTCTGGCAATTTCCATAGTCGCTTTTTATGGTACTTACGAGGTGAAATATATTGCCCAGCTTCCACACAGATCCATTTAGTTTCTTTATCTTTATTTATAGCTACTTGTATTTTAAATGTAACTTAATATTTGATGTCATAGTGTTATATTGCAGGGTGGTGATCCGGATGCAGACTCTGAAGAAAATGAAGAAAAGGATTCCGCTGGATTTATATCTAGTTTACTTATGTCTTTGTTGGGTGATATGTCTAAATCAAGTTCAGGTGGCAGTTCTCATCCGTGGTGACGATTATAATATTTGTATATAAATGACATTTTTTTCAAGGACTCGTGGTTATTTATTACAAATTTCTTTTTCTTGATGAAAATAACAAGTGAGAACGTTTTTTAAGTAAATATGAACGAGTATTAAGTAAATATGAACGAGTATTAAGTAAACAAAATTCTTCAACGTACCTACTCATTATACATAATGAAGATAAATTTTCTCAGTTTTTATAATACTCGTAGAAGATATTTTGTGTATCGCTTTTAATATAGAAATAGTATCTAACTATTCACATAGGATAATATATCCGGTTGTGAATCTCTTGTATTGGGTTCATATGAAATTTTGACTGACTGCCTCGTTGGTCCAGTGGTTCTAGTAGTGCGACTGCTGATCATGAGGTCCTGGGTTCGAATCCCGGGTCAGGCCAAAAATCAATTATTGAGTTTTTTTCCGTCAAGCCTCTGATTTCTCTTCCACCTGTGTGCACCTGTGCTTGCGCATACACTTGGACACTATAATCCTGTAATGTGCCGATGGTTAGTCTCTGTTGAGGCTGCCACCGTGATCGAAATTCGATCTGGAGGACATTATAATAAAAATTTTGATACGTTCCTTCGGAATTGCCCTTTAAAGGTAATTAAGGCATTTAGTTAGGTAAGCACTGTAGCTACATAATAAATATTTGATAGATATTTCATACTTCGACTAGTTTTCTTTAAAAAAAAAACCGAGGTTAGAAAAGGTAATTTTAGTTTTTGTACATAAACTTTTAACATTTGGAATACGCTTCAATTTTTGTTGTAACCTTTTTTGAACCTTGATTAATTTTATGAATAAAGATCCTTGTGTAAAATATATTCTTACAATTTAATAATATGGTATAACTTATGGATTTCCATACACTACTTATAATAGTGTACCTAAATAATTATTAAAAAAACTGTCGACTATACTGCGTTTTATTTATATATTATAAACACAATTACATTTAAAGTTTAATCTTTAATTTTTTAACCTAATTACTCATTTATCGTTTTACTTTTGTCTTACTAAATATTTTTTAAATTTTTTTAATTGATCAGGATACGTAGTCAATGATTTCTCATGATCTTGTAATGATCACGTACCTAATACTGCAACTTAACACCTGTATACAGGGAACGGCATTATGAATTGATTTTGTAGTCGGTAAAAGTGTTCTGTGTTTTGCAATTACCAGATCCACGTCTGCCAGTTAGCTGGGTAGACTTGCAGGTGGGATTCTCACTTAGAAAAAAACTCTTGCACATTCCGTCTCACGCTGCACTTTCAGATTAGCTGTTTATTTTATAAATGAGTCCTTTCAAAACGCCTAAATATTGTTACCTAAGAACTCCACTACCTATAAAGTTCATTACTGAATTATTTATGATATAACTATTTGTGATTTCCTAATTATAATTTTTTATTACAGCCAAGCCATAGAGAGTCGGAAGGACGTGTATCACCGTTTCAAACGCTTAAGTTAGACATAAGTCGAGCTTTACTACAATTCGGTATAAGCTTACTTGGGTTAGCTTCGTCTTCGTCTTTTCATTCGTCTTCTGGATAATGTGATCTAGTCAGTATTAAAGTGCCATAGTATCTTTATTTTATTAAATACAAATATATAAAAAATGTATTTTTATTTCTTTCCCAGTGCAGCCCGGCCGTGTGATAGCAGCCTAAGGGAATCCATAAACCCATTTCCATTTTGTTCAGTGGTTGTCGTAAGAGCCAACTTTGGGAGATACCACAAAGATATTATAGCTTCCGATAGATGGCGCCCGATCAATCATATGTAAAATACTTGAAATATCGACTGGAAGTAAAGTCAAAGGTGGGAGACGTTTGGTACGACTAACACCAATTAACCTTACAAGACTAGCGAATATGGCAAATTCTACCAACAACGGGAGAGGCAAGAAGTAAACACGTAAAATTGCACTGTTGTTTTCATAACAGTTAGTATAACCCTCTTATTGAGATTGATTGAATTGAGAGGTTGCTTGTGCCCAGTACTAGAATCTTTTTAGGATGTAATTTTACCTACTCTTTACGCTCTAGGTACTACTTTTCACTCTCTCACAATATACCAGCCTAAAATGACAACTTAATGCTGCTGTGAGTATAGAGAATAGGACACCCTTTTTCCTGCGAAACGAGGCATTCCATCTTAGTCCTCAGAGATGACAGCCCATCTGTATTTTGATTGTTAATCTGGGATAAATCTAGATAAAAAACTATGATAAAAAACTTATTTTAGAAAGAAGCACAAGATTACTTAATTTTGTTATGTCATTGAGAAGTATTCCTTGAGCGTCGCCGTCACATGCAATCTTTTAGACGTTGAAGGGCAATTACTAGTAAGTTAATATCGTCAGTAGATAATGACATACCCCTACACTTTAGAACGATTATTAAATCTTATTAATGAATATTACTGTTTTTTTGGAGCCGGTTTACATTTTGAGAAGTGACAAGTGCGAGTGGCAAGTGCAACTGACAAATGACAAGTAATTAGTGCGCATTTTATTCACACTTATCAGTTGTCACTGCTTGTCCACGCGCATTAAGCACTTGTCATTTGTTAGTTGCACTTGCCACTCGCACAGGTCACTTCTCAAAATGTAAACCGGGCCTTAGGATATGGGTGACAAATGAAAATGAGCATCCACACCACCTAATGGTAAATGGATCCTGTAGCTCACAGATATCTATATCTATCCTCGATTAAAATAAAAATACAGATACGTTATCAATGATAATAATAATATGTATTTTTATTGAACTTACCATCCCTAAGGACTAAGATGGAATGCCTCGTTACCAGTAATAGAGGTCTTCGGTTCTCCACACTCACCATACGAAATACAGCAGCATTAAACTGCTTTGTCACGCTGACATTCCGTGAGAGCGTGCTTCCCTGGTCGCGCTGACCCATTCGTACTGCAACCATAATATAGCTACAGCATGGCTCTACCACGTATAAATGTTGATATAAATTTGTATGTTATTGTTTGCGTCAATGGACTGAATTACATTTAAATTGAATTTGTATAGATAAGATGTATTGAAAGTAGTAGGTACATAGGGAAGGATTAAATAAAATTTTGTGGAGCATTGATTTATACATATACTACTTTATTGGTGGGGATTCTTATATTTTAGTATTGATGGTTAATAATTTCGCCATTCATTATTTCGACTTAACTGCTTTATTCAAGTAAAATTTAGGACTTGATTGAGATTAAAGTAAGACTAATCTTACAACAGTACTGAAACCATTTGTTTTGTAAAGTTGTAGGTGGATTTTATTTTTCAAAAGAATATGTGAAATAAAAGCTTTTAAAATATGGAAAAATACGACAGTGTAACCGTAAATGAAATTACAATGCAAATTAATTTCGTTTATCCGTTATATTCTTCTAACAGTTTTTCAACGATTAGTGTTTTCTCGACGATTCTTTCAGAAGTTAGTTCCGATGGTTCATTGCTTCTAAATTCTTCATTGGTATATTCCTTTTTGTGAGATTTGTTACTTAATTCATCATCTTGGTTCAAATTTGTAATTTTCTTCAAATTTTTATTACTTCTTATATCACGGGTAACTTTTGAAAAATCAGGATATTCATTGTCACTATTGTTGACCATTGTAAATAACTGAAAGGCGTTTTTCTCCAAAACTTCTGGTTTATTTTGTAGGATTTCTAAGAAACGTTCTATAAGTATAGGAAAAGTTTTAAATGTATTACTGTAGTAACTCCATAAGTTTTGTGTTCTATCACCATGTTCTGAAAAAAAAAATGTTATTGCAGGATTAACATTATAAACTACATCTTATTAAATACTGTTGATTGGTTCTAGGTGGTAGGAATTCTCTTTTGCCCAGGAGTTCATCTGGGTAGACGATATATTTCTGCCGACAAAAAGCAATGCTTGGACTGCTGTGTTCTGGTCAGAAAGGTATAGAGAGTCAATATAATCATGAATTACAAACTGTAAGGCATTCCATCGTAGTCTTCATAGATGACATCGCATCTGTAGCCTTCGTTGTTTAATGTAAGCTGCGGTCTTTGGACTGCAGTAGCCACTTACAGTCTCAGGTGGATTGTTAATTCGTTTATCACTTCAGATTTATATTGTAAATATTAATAGCTACATCTCTTTCCCTAACGTAAACTTGCTAAATCTGCTGTAATATTTTAAACGTGGTAGAGCCATGATGCAGTTATATTAGATGTATAGTTGTAGCAGGAATGGGTCGGCTCGACCGGGGAAGGACCACGCTCTCACAGAATACCAGCGTGAAATAGCAGCTTAATGCTGCTGTATTTCGTATGGTGAGTGTAGAGAACCGGAGACCCTTTTTACTGGAAACGAGGCATTCCATCTTAGTCCTCACGGGTGACAACGCATCTGCATTTTGATTCGTAATCGAGGATAGATGTAGATGTATATGGGCCACAGCAACCACTTACCATCAGGTGGACTGTGTGCTCGTTTGTCACCCTATCCTATAAAAAAAAAACAAGATAGCAAGGTCTCCACTCGATGAACTATAATTAAGGTTTATAAAAGTCGTAAAATACTCAGTGTCACATCTGCGAGGTACTGACGTCGCCAATTTCTTGTATGGATGTGGCCAGGTTATAGTGCATTGTTCACTGATCGATGTAGAGGAAGGCGTTATAGCATATTCAACTTTAGTCTTTATTTGAGGATCACACAGACTTGTTGGTGAAATTACAAGGTTCCTACTGAAAACTACCGCTATAGCCTTTGCAGCGTTATGCTGAGTTGGAGGTAATTTGAACTTCGTATCACAGGTTTTAATATGTATATTACATAAAGATTACCTATATTTATGCGAACACTACACATTTAAATAATACTAGTTTTTGCGGATTTCTACTATCCACCTATTTTTTTTCGTGCTCGAAACGTCGAGAATATAAAAGATTTAATATACGCGATAAAATGCTTAAAAACTAGTATTTTTTAAATGTATATTGCTGTTCGTTTTTTTTCATATTTTGTTAATATCTTGGATATGGCCTACTTATTTTATTATTTGTACACATTGACTTATAGGTGTGCTTATAGTCATGATATATATATATATATATATATATATATATATATATATATATATATATATATATATATAGTTTGGTATTTTTCGTTTCTTCGATTATATACATATATATATAGTGTAATACACATTGTGCATGTATATTTTTTGGAGTTGAATAAAATTCTTGATATATTACTTCAGCGTTTCCATTTATAATCATGTTCATTTATGTAATCTGTTTGTGATATTTTTCGTAAACAAACCTTTAACTTTTTGATCATGTTTTTCTTCGAGATGTTGTTGAGTGGATATTAAATTTTTGGGGCTCGATCTACGTTGATATAAGCCAAGAGACTACGTAGTACCTACTAAACCTTGCTCAATTTGACGAAAGGATTTATGGTTTAACTTGTCGATTTTCATATTTAATTTTTAACAGTTTACAAAATTATTAGCATACTCGAGAATAAAGTTTTATTCATATGTTAAAATTTCAATTATCCATCAGCATTCTGGCATTCCCTTTTTTTAAGTTGCCTTTACGATATTGGTCAGGAAAGTTGGTCAATGATCTCGCATACGTAATGCTCCTAATCCTGTAGTCACCTGTAGTCAGTTACCAGATCCTTATCCGTAAGCTAGCCCTGTGAGATTGTACTAACAAAGGGCGTGCACATTCAATCTCACACTCCATCTTAAGATTCTCCTTTCCTCTCTCCTCAGATTGTCCTTTCGGAAAGTCTTACTCTTACTAGGGGCTCAACTAGATTTTATTACTGAATATTACATTTCGAAATTTATTAATATATTTTTATTTCAGCCAGGACACAGGGAGTCAGAAGAGCATGCATCACCGTTTTGGACTATTACGTTAGATATAATTCGTGCTTTACTACAATTTGGTACAAGTGTTCTTGGGTTAGCTTCATCTACGTTTCTTCATTCGTCTTCTGGATAATGTAATCTGGTCAGTATTTTATAGTGACATGGCATCTTCATTTCATTAAATATATAAAAAGTGAATGTATTTTTATTTCGTTTAAAAAGCTTGTATGGTTGAGACACTGTGTGGGTCCAAATCCCGCGTGGTACCAATGTTTGTATGGCTACAAATAAAATATTACGTTAACATGGATATGACCTACACGGTAAGGTTAGTCATTAATATAGTTGTTCTGGTTCTGAATATGTACCCTTGTGCGATTTAAGTTTGTAAATCACATCCACGATACATGAGAATATTCTACTGTGGCGGTAATGTCTTTTTACAAATAAAGAAAGAAAATAAGCTGCTGTAATAGGTCTGAATTTCGGAAATTCAAATTTTAAATTATCTCCACGTTTCGAGGTACCTAAAATCCGATTCTACTGTTTTCAAACGATTTCAAAAAAAGGAGGAGCTTTTCAATTCGACTCAATTGTTTTATTTATGTATGTTCCCTCAGAACATTTTTCTAGGCAAATCGCTTATGATGATTCTTTGTTATTTCAAAGCTGGTGCTCCTCATGTGGTCCAATATAAATTTGATCAAGATCTGACCATAAAGTAGTTTTTGAGTTATCCTTAGTAATGAGTATTTAACTGAGTTCGACTACGTAGATAATGTTCTCATTATATTTATATTGAAGTCGGTTGTACAATTTTTTTTATTTTACCACTTGTTAAAGGAATATTTGTGTGCGTATGTTTGTATGTTATTGAATTTATTTCGTCACGCGTATCTCGAAAAAAAAATAGCATGACTACATCGATTGCATATAATCTGATTGAATTTTCGTAAAAGGTATTTATAGATTTTATAAAGCATTAAATTAAATATCAATATAAAAGTAAAAGTTGTAGTGAGGTCAAACCGATTGCACCCATATCTATTTTTCACACAAAGTTTTTTGAGCAAGTAACAACATGAATTCTGGGAGTTAAGGCGGTACTTAACTTCATTGTCAAAGGATTACTGCTCCTTTTAGTGTTTAAATTATGGGTTTAAAGTTGATTGGACACGTAAAGGTGCAATTTTGTGTATTAAATATTAATAGTGGAAACGATAGAACAAGTAAGTGCTCGTATTATAAACAAAAACAATAATTTGAGGTATGTAAACCTAAAATTATTGTTTGCTTAGGCGCCTTGAGATACTATCGTCATCGACTATCTGCTGAACCAAGCTGTCGTCAAATTCTCACTAAAACTCAATGTAACGCATGTACATATTGTGAAAAAGTTTTATTTTATAATTTCATAATACTTGTCACTGGCAAAAGTACAGCCGTACGAGCCTATTGAGAACGAAAGAAAGAACTTACCTTCCGAATTAATGATTACCAATTTAAATAATAAAATGAAAATCACTTTCATCTTCTCTTTTAACTGTTGCACCAGTCTTGTTTGGTAAATGGTAAATGACAAACGTATGAACCAGTTTGTCCCACTTAATTTAACGCGAAGGTTACGTAATGTATCTTTATCATGTTAGTGAAAGATAACTCAAAAACACTTAGGCTTTAAAAATTAAAAAATGAATTTGTAAAAAACTTATTCTAATGACTATTTAACTCGTAGACTAGTCTTTTGTGGCGGCTTCGCTCGCATTGAAATATTTATTGGATCCATTGGGCAATCTGAAGAACATTTTACTACGTATAGTCTAAAATCCGAAGAGAGATCGACTTTGATTGATCAGTTGACCAGATAAAATATATATATACAATATGTAACGTAATTAACGCGCACCCTCAGACACCCCAATTAGTATATTATGTTATAATCATAATACATACACTGAATTTTTAGTTAAACATTTTCATGCACTGATTATTTATCAAATTGGTTATACTAATTCAGTAAGAATTTTGTGGTCACAGTACAAATCCACGAACGCAAAGACTTTAACGTGCTTGAAATAAGGTTCATTTTTCTTTATTTTTATTGAATGACAGAATTAGTAATAATACAAATAAAACTGCACTCTTAAAAGTCTTATTGCCTTAAGTTACGGTCCATTTCAGTTTGTTTTGACTGTACAGATTTAGTGTGACTGTAATTTACGTAATTTTAATTATTTTTGGGTTAAAAAATTACCTATATTAAAAATGATAGGAATTGATTCAGTAAACGATTCTGAACAAACTACTTTCTCAAAGTGCGTTAATTATGTTACATGTTGTATATACATGTATTTATAAAATTTAAAAAAAAATCTTTGCCTAAAAAAGCTGACTAAAATATGTTTAAATAAATTAATTTTTATTAATATTTATTTCTGTGCTTCACGCTATTGTTAACGAAACGAATTTTGTTTTAAACGATAGTTAATGCTATAAAGAATATGCCTAGGTAGCTTCGCCCACTAAGTTCTTGACGTCACTATCTAGCAAGCACATATAAACAGGTAAGGTAATATAGGTAACCGTACCGATCTCTTAGCCATTTGAAATATATATCAAAAGATAGCTAGTTTAATGATAAACGCTGTAATATATCTGTGCCTATAATTAACCTGTCATTAATCAGTACTGCTATAGTTTGGCCGTTCAGAGAATGCGTTCCTGACACCTATCAGTTAGTCACGACTAGTGA